GAACACCCCCCCCTTCCCACTCATTTTAAAATGTCAAACTTCAGTAGACCTATGACTTTATCTATATGGGTACTCGCTCTAAACTATGCATTACAGCCCTTGCTCATCTTCTGATTGTAGGTGATACTGTTCCATGGTTTCCCATGAATACTCTATGGCAGGTCCATTTTGTCCAACAGCAATGTGCCAGGCACTGGGTTAAGATCTAGAGATATAAAAAAAAAAATAAAACTTGTCCTCAAGGTACTTACATTCTCACTATGGAACACACATGCAAATAACTACATACAAAATATATACAGAATAAATGAGAGATAATCCCCAGACCAAGCGCAGTAGGAATGGATTTTTTTTTCTCTTGGAGAAAGTGGAATTTGAAATAAGTCCTAAAGGGAACCAGAAGGTAGAAGTAGAGAGGGAAAGAATTCCAGGTATGAGGTATAACTAATAAAAATGGAGATAGAATGGCATCATGAACACCAGGAAGAAAGCCAGTGTTGGTGAGTGGAGTGGGAGAAAACTGAAAAGAGAAGGAAGGGGCCAGATTTTAAAATGCCTTAAAAGAAAAAAATGATAAGTGAAATATTAGGAAGTCAATGGAATATATTATATATAGGTGGCACCGTGGGTAGAGTGCTGAACCTGAAGTCAGGAAGACATCTTCCTGAGTTCAGATCTGGTCTCAGACACTAGCTGTGTTATCCTGGGCAAGTCATTTACCTTGTTTGCCTCAGTTCCCCATCTGTAAAATGATCTGGGGAAGGAAGTGACAAACCATTCCCATATCTTTGCCAAGAAAACTCCAAATAGGGTCAAAAGAGTCAGACATAACTGAAAAATGACTAAACAACAACAAAATGTTTGTGTGATTGACATGGTCAGAATTACAATTTGGTCAGACACTCAAAATACTAGGAGCCCTTGTCTAGATCTCTTGACATTTTAAATCCAATCCCTGACACTCATTATATGACCAGTCTTCTTATTTCTTGAGTCCACTTCATGATTCCTTCTGTGCTACACTCTGTTAACTCCTATCATGTTTCTCTATTGCCTTTAAGGTGAGCAAGAATTTTGAATCTTTGAGATTGTGGTATTTCATGATTTGCATGAAGAGAAGGGGGAAAAAAAGGAGAATACAATCAGTAGAGTCCAATCTAGTGATTTTTCTAAACTAAAGAAATACTCATCTAATTTAGAGAGATGTTCTACTTAGCAACATTAAATTATCTGCACATTATTGTGAATCACACTTTAAATCAAACTTAGCAAACTTTCCACTTTAATATTGTCAATGTGGGTTTCTGTGCATTTATTATCTCCCAAAAAAACTTTGAAAATTTCACCAAATGGTATGTGCTAACAAAGTTCATACTTGTCAAGTCCTATTGCCGATCAGAATAGTGTTCTGTTTTTTGTGGTGCCATAGAATCAATACATTTCAGAATTCTAAGAGTATAGATATTAAGTAGTACAAAATTCTCATTTTGCAGAGAAGAGAGAAAATTTACAGAAAAAAGGAGTCCTGAGTGGTTAAGGGACATGTCCATGGTCACCTAGAACATTAGAAACAAAGTTACAACTGGAACAGTGATCTACTAACTCCTAATCCAGTCCTTTTCTCCTACCCTTCATTATCTGTGAAAGAAGATATTATGGAAGAGTAGGATGGATATCATACTCAAAACTTAGGGATACATTCAGACCTTTCTTTTGTTTTGGGGTTGTTGTATATAGATTTTTCTAAAGTATTTTCAGGAGCCAAGATGGTAGAGTGAAAAGGTAGTCGCTCTCACACTCCCCTATCAACTTCTGAAAACCCAGAAAATATCACCCTAGAAATAAATAAAACCCTGGAACAGCTGAACTAGAAGAAAGACGGGAAATAGCAGTGCAGCAGCCCAGCAAACTGATCTCCCAGTACCTCAGCAAAAATAAGGGAAGCAGCACTACAAAGGGCCCCAGGTGGATAAGCACCCTGCAGTATTCATCTGAAAGGAGCTGAAGAAAGTAACCTAGAGTCTTCCTAAAGTCCCAGCCATGCTGATTCCAATCCAACACAAGGTAAGCTGTCAGAACCCTACAGCCTCCAAATGTCAACCAGGAGGAAATCCTGAAGCCTAGGTGGTAGAACAGGCAAACACCAACACCTTAACCTCTAAGTGCCTCAGTGAGGGTGGGGGAGCCCAGTGGAAACCAGCTCAGAAAACCACCAGGTACCTCGGCACTCTACAACAAAGGAATCTCCCCAGTGCATTAGCAGAAATGAGGGAGGCAGCATTGCAAAGGGCCCCAGGCAGATAAATACCCTGCAGCACCCATCTAAAAGGAGCTGAAGAAAGCTAAAGGAAAGGAAAAGCAGGCAACCTAGTATTGCCTGAAAGTTCCAGCCTTGTAGATTCCAGCCCAACACCAGGTAAGCTGCCAAAACCATGCAGCCTCCAATTGCCAACATAAGAGGCCACAGCACACAAAACCAATGACCAAGACCTAGGCTCCCAACACAAGAAGCTTGGGTCAGTGCTCTCTATTCCCCAGCAGGAGAGCTCAATCTCTTTAAAGGCTAGGGAATAAAGAAACCATGAGTAAAAAAAATGTACCATAAATTTATATTACAAGAAGAGTGGAGATCAAGACAGAAATTGTGAAGAGAACAACAATGTCAACAAACTCACATCTGCAACATCAAAAGGGAATATGAACTGGTGTGAAGACCAAAAAGCCTTCTTAGAAGAACTCAAGAAGGATTTTAAAAGTCTAATGACAGAGGTAGAAGAGTCCTTAAAAAATACAATTGGCCAATTGAAGAAGGAAAAACAAAAACTATCAGAAGAAAACAATCTGTTAAAAACTATTGGAGACTTGGAAACTAATGACTCTATGAGAGAGCAAGAATCAGTCAAACAGAAACAAAAAAATGAAAAAATGGATGAAAACATAAAATACATCATCAGTAAAACAACTGCCCTAGAAAATAGATCCGGGAGAGACAATTTAAAAAAAATCACTGGACTACCTGAAAATCATGATGAAAAAAAGAACCTGGACAATATCTTTCCAGAAATCATAAAGGAAAACTATCAAGAAGTCCTAGAACCAGAAGGTAAAATAACCATAGAAAGAATACACCGCTCACCATCTGAAAGAGATCCTAAATAAGGAATATAATAGCAAAATTCCAAAATTACCAGATGAAAGAGAAGGTGCTGCAAGCAGCCAGAAAGAAACAATTTAAATATCATGGAACCACAGTCAGGATTACACAGGATCTTGCAGCTTCTACATTAAAAGACCACAGGGCATGGAACATGATATTCCATAAGGCAAAGGAGCTTGGATTGCAGCCAAGGATCAACTACCCTGCAAAAAATGAGAGCATGATTTTTCAAGGGAGGAGATGGATATTCAACAAAATAGGCGACTTCCAAACCTTCCTCATAAAAAGACCAGAGCTCAACAAAAAATTTGATCTTCAAGTACAAGATTCAAGAAAGATATGAAAAGTTAAATGGGACAGAAAGATACAAAATGTTGCTAATAAGGGCTGACTGTTTACATCCCTACAAGGGAAGATGACACTTGCAACTCTTGATAACTGTACTGTTATTACACCATGTTAAAGCAGTATACATAAAGGGGGTGGATATTAGTTGACTTTGATGTAATGATGAAAAAAAAATCTAATCAAGTGGGTTAAATGGATCCAAGTAAGTGGATTAGTCTGATCTTAGAAAATGTACTGAGAAAGGAGGAGGCAGACAAGTGTAAATTACATTACAGGAAAAGTCAAAAAATCCTATTACAGCAGAGGGAAAGAAGGGGGCGGGGGTGAGCATTGTTTGAACCTTGCTCTCATCAGATTTGGCTCAAGAAGGGAATAACATAATCAGTCAGGTATGGAAATCTAACTTGCCCTATGGGCAGTAGGAGGGAAAAGGTAAAAGAAAAGGGAGGGAAGATGGAAGGGAGGGAAGAAGGGTGGGGGAGTGAAGGGGAAGGGGGGGGGGGATAATAGAAAGGAGGAGAGACTGAAGGAGGAAGTGGTCAAAAGCAAAGTACTGTTGGGGATGGGAAGAGAGAGAGGAGAAAGAAAAGCATAAATGGGGGGGAAGGATGGAGAAAAAGACACAGATAATAATCATGACTGTTTTTTTTTCTCTTCTGTGGAGTTTTGTTTCATCTTTTCTGATGGTTCCTCCTATTGGTATTATTTTTTACTTACAATTTCACTAATGTACAAATATGCTTAATAGGAATGTAAATGTATAGCCTATATCAGATTATGCACCTGCTTGGGGAGGGTGGTGGGGAGGAAGGGGGAGAAAAATTTTCAACTCAGAAGCATATGGAAGTGATTGCTGATAAATCAACATAAATTTTTAAAAAATTAAAAAAAGAAAAAAGAAAAAAGTATTTTCAAACCTATTGGTATACACATGATATACCACTTTGGGGTCAATGCATTTGATAATCGTATTATCTATAAGAAGTATTCTGGTTTTCTTTTGATTCTCTTTTTTTTTTTGGTCCTAAACTTAAAGTATTGCCCATTTTTCTAGTATTAAAGGACTTAGTAAATAAAATTCATTGTTCAGTTAAATATAATATCTTTGAGATTAGAGACTATTCCACTTTTGGCTTTGTATCCCTAACAGCTAGCAAAATGCCCGGCTGGTATGATCAGATAAGGCATTTCAGAATTCTTGAATATAGAGGTGGTACATTTGTGGGTGTTTGCAAGGTGAGGGTATGATGATCTTTGTATGTGACTGAGGTTGGATGGAGTAGATTATGTCAGGTGAGTAGGTAGAAGAACTGACTGGTTAGGTTATTTAAGGGAGAATCAATATATATGTTGAAGTACTCTAGTGTGAGAGCAAGACTTGGGGAAGAAAGAAAAAATTCAAGCCAACAAACTCATTGAGAAAGGACAAGGAATAACCTGGGAATCTGTAGACAACAGCTACCAGAATTTTAATTGAGTAGTAGAAATTATTAGCATGAACATCAAAGGAAGAAAAGTTAATAATGGGTACAAGAAGAGGAAGAATCTGGAAGTGGCAATGAGGAGCAAGGAATATTCCAAGTGCCTTGCATTGACCAGTGAGTCAAGGAAAATGGATGAAGGCACAGCCAATACTGAAAAGAGTGGCCAAGGAAGTTGTGTCATCAGGAAGAAGCCAAATTTCAGTAAGAATTAGTTGATGGAAGGATTAGTAATGGAAAATATTTTAAAATGCAAGGATGTTTGTTACCTATGAAACAAGTATGCCAGAAGGCACTGTGGAAGGGCTAACTGGAGTTAGGTTGAAACACTTAGTGCTTATATGGTTGGGAAGAAATGCTTTTACTTGTATCTGAGGTAACCAAGATATGAGCTGTATTTCAAAATTCTGAGAGTAAATCTTGGTGACAGAAATATCATAGAGTAACATTTGGGTTGCTTCTCTGAAGTTTCAACTAATTTTTTGTGATGCCAGAGAGAGGTGCTTGACCACAGCTTATATAGCTGATGTAGTCAATTATGCTGATAGTTTTCCTAATATTGAACCATCTCTGTATTCCTGCTACATATTCCACCTTAGTCATAGTGCATGATCTTTGTGACAGATTGCTGCAATCTCCTTGCTAGTTACCTTATTTAAAATTTTTGCAGACAAAAATTGGCCTGTATTTTTTTCCTCTGTTTTTGTTCTCCCTGGTATTGGAATCAAAACCGTATTTATGTCATAAAAGGAAATTGATAGGACTCCATCTTTATTTTTTCCAAATAGTTTATACAGCCTGTGAATTAATTGTTCTTTAAATGTTTGGTAGAATTCACTTTTAAACCCATCTGATCTTGGGGATTTTTTCTTACAGAACTCATTGTTCATTTTAAAAAAATATGACAAGGATATTTAAGTATTCTTTTTACTCTTCTCTTAATTTGGGGCATTTTATATTTTGTAAATATTCATCCATTTCAATTAGATTATGAGTTTTATTGTCATATACTTGGGCAAAATAACTCCTAGTAAATGCTTTCATTTCATCTTCACTGGTGGTGATTCAACATTTTCATTTTTCATACTGGTAACTTGGTTTTCTTCTTTATTTTTTTAAACCAAATTAACCAAGAGTTTATTGATTTCCTTGTTATTTTTTCCCACAAAACCTATTCCTCATTTCAATTTAATTATCCTCTCCTTTGATTTTCAGGATTTCCATTTTGGTATTTAACTGGGGATTTTTAAGTTGTTCTTTTTCTTTTATTTTCTGTTATATGTCCAATTCATTAATCTATTCTTTCTTTTATTGTGGTATATGTCTAGAGGTTATGTTTTCTCTAAACAATGCTTTAGTTGCATCTCAAAATTTTGCTGTTTTCTTATTGTTGTGATTCTCTTTAATGAAATTATTTATTCTTTCTATGATTTGTTCTTTGAACCACTGATTCTTTAGGATTAGATTATTTAATTTTCAACTTATTTTTCATTTGTGCTTCCACAGCCCATTATGGAATGTAATTTTTATTGTATTATGATCTAAAAGTATGCCCTTAATATTTCTGCTTTTTTGCCTGTTTTGAGGTTTTTATGCCCTAATACACATGTTCAATTTTTATGAAAGTGCCATATGTATCTCAAAAATGCATATTCCCTTCTACTTCCATTAAACTTTCTCCAGAGGTTTATCATATCTAACTATCTAAAATTCTATTCATCTCCTTGACTTCTTTCTTATTTATTTTATGGTTAGATTTATCTAGCTCTGAGAGGAGAAAGTTGAAGGCTGTCACTGCTATAGCTTTACTGTCTATTTCATCCTGTAAATCAGCTTTTCCTCTAAGAATTTGGATGCTGTGCTATTTAAGACTTACACACATATACATATATGCACATACATGTGTGTGATAATCAGTATTATTTTATTCTCTGTGGTACCTTTCAGCAAGATGTAGTTTCTCTTAACTGTTTTTTTTTATTTTCTTCATTTGAGATTATGGTTGCTATCCCTGCCTTTTTTAGTTCAGCTGAAGAATATTAGAGGCTGTTCCATTCCTTTATTTTAACTCTGTGTATGTCTTTTTCAACTGTTTTTATAAATAAAATATTGTTGAATTCTAGTCTCTAGTCCATTCTCCTATCTGCTTCTGTTTTATGAGTGATGCCATCCCATTCACATTCACAATTATATTTACTAACTGTGTATTTTCCTCCATCCTACTTTCTTCAATTTCTCCTTTTCTCCCTTTATACTTTGCTCTTCAAAAGTTTGTTTTGCTTCTGATCACTGCCTCTATTAAATTTTTATCACCCCCTCTTTCTTTATCATCTTCCCCTACTGCTTCCTCGTTGGGTAAGATATATTTCTAGACCCAGTTGAGTCTAGATATGCATTCTTCCTTTTTGCACCAATTAAGATAAGAGTGAGGTTCAATCATTGCTTGCCACCCCCTCATTTTTCATTCCACTATAAAAGCTTTTCTTTGCCCACATATTTTATGTGAGAAAATGTTCCCCATTCTTCCTCTCCCTTTCCCCTACCTTGAGTGAATCCCTCCTTCTCAATCCATTCATTATTTAAAGATCATCCCAAAATAATTGACTCATTCTTGTGCTCTCTATATTGAGTACTTCTAACTGCCCTAATAATTATAAAGTTATGAGTAATCTATATCATTTTTCCATAGGAATGTAAACAGTTTAACCTTATTGAGTTCCTTATGATTTTTCATGTTTACCTTTTTATGCTTCTTTTGAGTCTTGTATTTGAGAGTCAAGTTTTCTATTCATCTCTGGTCTTTTCATCAGGAATTCTTTAAAGTCCTCTAGATCATTAAATATTCATTTTCCCCTAAAGTAATATACTGAGTTTTCTGGGTAGATTATCCTTTGTCATAATCCTGACTCCTTTGTTCTAGAATATCATATTCTAAGTGCTCTACTTTTTTATTGTTGTAGTTGCTAAATCTTGCATGATCCTGAAAGTGACCCTGTAGTATTTGAATTTTTTTTTTTCTGGTGGCTTTCTCTACAACTTTGGAGCTCTAAAATTTGGCTACAATATTTCTGGGAAGTTTTATTTTGGGACCTCTTTCCAGGGGTGCTTGGTGAATTCTTTCAATAATTGTTTTATTCTCCTGTTCTAGGATACCAGGGCAATTTTCCTTTATAGTTTCATAGAATATGATATTTAGGCTTTTTCTTTTATCATGATTTTCAGACAGTCTAGTAATATTCAAATTGTCTCTCCTCAATCTATCTTGTACGTCAATTGTTTTACTGGTGAGATATTTCACATTGTTTTTCATTCTTTTGACTTTGTTTTATTGTTCCTTGATGTGTCATTGCCTTCCATTTGCCTAATTATAATCTTTAAGGAATTTGTTTCTTCAGTAAGTTTTTGTTTCTCTTTTTCCATTTCATGAATTCTATTTTTATGGTGTTATGTTCTTTAGTATTTTTGTGTCTCTTTTACAATTTTTAATTTTCTTTTCATAATTTTCTTTACTCATTCTCATTTCTTTTTTTCCAGTTTTCTCCTCTACCACTCTTATTTGAAGTTTAAAATAATTTTAACTCTTCTTGTAGGTTTGTGTCCAATTCACATTTGTCTTTCAGGCTTTGATTATACTTCTTTTGACATCATTGTTTTCTGCATTTTTGTCTTGATCTTCTCTGTCACCATATTTGATTTTTATGGTGTTGATTCTTGTTGTTGTTTGCTCATTTTTCCCTGCCTGGCTTACCCTGACCTTTCATTGTTTCTGCTACTGCAGAATTTTATTCAACGCATTATTTTAAAGTTGTTAGGAAGGGAATGTTGGAAGAACTTGGCTATTTCCTGTACTCTGCCACCTTGGCTCCTCCTGTTCCACATCTTTATAAAGTGATTTTACGTAATGCTCTTTCATAAACTTTATGTTAAATACAAACTTGTCCCCTTTCCTTTTCTCCATATATGCCATTTATTCTATCTTCTCCCTCTGAGTCTTTGCAAGAACTTTGAATGCACTCTGACTTCAACTTTATTTCTTGGAATTCATAACTGCCTTCAAGACTTCCACTGACCACCATTGCCTACATAAGATCTTTCCTGACCCTCCCACTTTTTTGTGCACTCCCTTGTCCTTGAAGTCACTTTGTTGAAGTATATTGATTTAGGACATTCCAGTGGCAAAATGGAAAAAAGTGTTGAAATTGTGACTCAGAAAAACAAGATAGAATCCTGTTTCACACCTCTACTAGCTTCTTGACCCTAGACAAGTCATTTAACCTCTCTCAGGCTCAATGTCCTTTTCTGTAAAATTGGATAATTCCACCTACTCTTAGGCTTGTGAGGAACAAATGAGATCATGTCTACAGAATGCTTTTCAAACCTTGAAGCAATACATGATTATCATTACTATCATAGTTATTATCTTCCTTAAAAGAAAATAAGCTCCACAAAGGTGGATGCTCATTTATTTTTACCTTTATGTTATTGGTGCGTAACAGAATACCCATCACACAGTAGACTACAGAAATATTTGCTGAACTGGTTTGATTTTCACATTCCACAAAGCAGAAACAGTATGGTCCAGGGGTTAGGACTGTATGTGCCAAGTTGGAGGATCAATGATCCATTAATTTTGTTGAAGAAGTTAATATTAGCTTCTTAATGAAAGTAAGGGTGTTCAGAATATCATTGGTAATAATATTTATGTAATGCTTTAAGGTTTTCAAACCTCTCTCATAATTTTAGCCATGTGGCTTTAGTACTATTATCTAGGTATTTATAGATGAGGAAACTGCAGTTTAGAAAGATGAAATGAATTGTCCACAGTCACACAGTAAGTATGATTTGAAATTAGATTTGAATCTAGGTCTTTGATGTTTCCAAGTCCAGCTATCTTTCAATTATAGGGTACCTTAACCCAAGTGTTGCTCCTGAAACTTAACTGCATTGAAATTTGGATGCTACTTTTCTGTCCTTTAACACAGCTCCACAAGAGTTTCCTGTTTATCTCATTATCTTGTCATTTTTCTACATTGAAAAACTTTGGTAGTAAATTTAGAAGATTTGCTGTTTCTTCACTCATTTAGATAATTTATAAAGATGCTAAATATACTTGTTAATATTTTAATGATTATTACTGGGGAAATCACATCGTTATACTTGCCCATGTAGAAAAGTGCCCATTTATCTTCACCCTTTGTTTATGG